ATGTAAATATTACAGAACATAAGTGATATATTAATTGATCATGTTAATAAAGTAATACGTACGTAAATATTACAGAATATATAGTGATATATTAATTGATTACATTAATAAATAATGATCATGTGATATTGTAGAGGTTCACAAGTGTTAAATTACAATGCTCGGCATAATATTTTAGAATAATTTGCGTAATATTACATAATACATTGCACAATATTCCGGAATAAATTGCGCAATATTTCGGAATAAATTGTGTAATATTCTGTAATAAATTGCGCAATATTATGCCCAGACCGTAATTCTTGCGCAATATTACAGGCCATAATATTTTATGTAAGATTACGGTTATATATTTTGCTGATGTAATTTTAGAGTTTAAAATTTATATTATATTTGATTTAATAAATTTAATATATTTAAGTTATGTGACTAGGTGGTAATTTTCTCCAGTTAAAATTAGAAATTCTCATTATTTAAATAATATATTTTTTTAAATAATTTAAATATGCTAGAATACAATTATTAGTTTAAGGAAAATAATATCATGGATGAGTGATTGAGAATAGCTATAAGTAGGTTATTAGAAGAGTATTGAGAAAGTGTTTGTATTAATGAAGTAGTGGAAAAGGAAAAAAGAGTGGTTGTTAAAGCATAGTAATTGTCAGGAATGTAAATATCAGATAAATAGTTGGCAAACAGGTAGTGTTGGAGAAGAGATAGTTATTAGAGTAATGGTGGTTGTCGAGGATGTGGTAATTCACTGATGGATAATTGTTAGGGAAGTAAAGAAGAGAAAATGATTGTTGGAAAAGGGCTTGAAGAAATAGTAGTTGCCAAGAAGTGGTTGTATCAGGGAGGTGTTGGTGTTCGTTGTTGAAGAAGTGCATTATACTAGTCTAAGTTATAGCTGTTTTTACAATTTTGAGCAACTAAAAAATTGCAAATAACAGAATTGATAAGTTTCTGTATTTGGCCAAAGTTAGTTACTTATTGATTTCTACTTACATTTGTTCTAGAATTTATAAAAATAGCTGTAAGTATAAAACAGATTTGTTTTATATTTACATATAGACTTAGTTTTAGAAAAGGTTTGGAATTTTAGGGCTTTTGGGTTTGTTTTATTTTGGGTTTGGTTATTGGCCCAAAGTAGTTTTGGGTAGCATTATTATTAACAGCTATCTAGATATTTCAAATCAATCAAATCAAATTAAATATTTGATAATTAAATTCAAATTAAATATTATCTAATTTGAATTTGATCAAATTAAATTTAATTATAATTTGAATTTGATTTGAGATCAAATATTTGATTAAATCAAATCAAATTAAATCAAATTGCAGAACTTTATAGTTGACTAAATAAAATAATTATCCGAAGCGAAGTGTAGAACTCATACTTCTACGTTAAGTGATACCAAAGTTACCTTTTTGATATAACCAAAATTACCTTTTTGATATATTTATAA